AATATCAGCGCCATAGTGCATCGGCTGCCTTAATTGATGATTTAAACTCAAAACTTGATAAGCGTAGTATAGTGATGATTACCTGATAGCCAACTGTATAAAAACATTTCGATATGAATGCCACCCTGCCCAAAATTATAAAAAGGCCTTTATAAATAAACTAAGAGCTGATAAACTTAGAAAAGGTCTGTAAACAAAACCCACAAAGTATTTGCAAAATCCAAAATTCTGGGATTTATTTTTCTAGCACGTACTGGCATACGTTTAGATAGCGATAACAATATGTAGGGTTACAAGCGAAGAACTCGTGATTATGTGTACGTCAAAGACCATGGTTTACCATATGCCGACGATTTGTCCGGTGACGACTTTGACATATACGAACATGAAAGATCCAAGGTATGTCTTTTATTGACATGTCATAAATAAATGCAGTGCGTAGTTAAGATATGTTTGGAGTATGAAGCCAAGTTGGAGGAGATTCGCACAGAATTCTCAGTTGACGATGTTTCAGACCCGGCTAAACCATTAAATTGGGAAGAACAAGACATAGAGGTAACGAGACGTTCTGATAACAACGCAAAAAGCATCATGTAATTTCAGGAGGTTTATCCTGCGCCCCAAACAACACGAGATTCCCTCATGACATTGATGTCAGAAGATGATCTTGACTCATTGTACAAGACAGCAGAGGATATTTTCAAAAAAGTAAGCGTCCAGGAGAGAGGACGCAGCGACCTTTTGAAGGAAGAAAAGGGCGTCAGCGAGGTGACAACTTTAATGCCATGAAATCCTAATATTCTTAAATGCAAATTCCTAAACATTAAAACAGTTTTCTGTTTTAGCTCATTCCTTTCAAACATAATCCCGCCAATATTACAAGCTCGCCAAACTCGCGATCGAGATTACTTTCATCACCAGAACGCCATGAATTAGGAGACGGTGAGACCTTTAGAGGAGGCATAGTTGAGCACGAACTAAATAACGAAGCGACTGGAGACGAACCATTTTACGTCAATGATTGCGATGACGATAAAAAATCCGAGACAGAGCCTGACTGGGAACAGCCTCGTTCGCTGGACTTATCTGGCACTCAGGTTCAAAACTGTCATTTCACTACCTGTCATCCCCTATACTATAAATTAGGATATTTTTAGTACTACGATCCAGCTTCCGGTGCACTTATAGAAAGCGGTGATACGAAGTTAATTGAATGCAGTAAGTTAAGGCTTGCTCAATTGAAGCAAATGACTCAAAAAAAGTTTTGATAAGAAGGATGGAAGTGCTTCAAAAAGAACCTCTTTCCTACAAAGCTACCAAAAAAATTGTCGGATGTGTAAAGAAAATCCAGACAAACAAGTGATTTGCAGCTCCAAATACAGCCAGATCGATAAGTGTCTTTGATATCAGACAGTCTATGAAGCTTCGTCGTTTTCACCATGTTCTTTTCACTTATCCCGATCCTCACGCAGAAAAGGTAAGCTGTGTTATATGCATGGATTAGCCAGTAGCCAACCAGAGCAGAAGTGGTATGATCTGGTTTTCACTCAAAATGCGGTCAAGATATGAGTTCAGAGAACAAAGAGAGCAAACGACGTAACACAACTCCAGTAGTAGACTTACTGATTGGCGCTTTAAAATAATACTCCAGTTGAAAATTGTTTGTTGAATGACTAATGGAAAAAAGAGATTCCCAAATTAACTAGAAGCAATGTTATCGTAATTCAATTTCTTTTTCTGCATACAATTTGTTGAATTTTACCTGACAAAGGTGAATATACATACACTTAGCGTTTTCCCGTCACTTTTCTTGCTTCACCATGATGTTGTAAGGATTTTTCAAAAATTTGCGGCCGCTTCTTAAGTGAACTACCACATAGAAATTATTTTACTGCTGTCTTTGCTATCTATCTTTAACTATGTCATTCTTTTCCTAATGTTACAAACTAGCCACAACGCGATAAAAATCTGTTGATTTTAGATAGGGTAAGACAACATTGAATAACGGTTCAAAAATAGTTCTCCAATCTCTATGACAAAATCATTACTAGTCCCTCATAAGCTTATAGCCCCTTGAAAAATTGAACTGTTACATTCCTAAGTAACTGAAATATTTAAGGATAACAATCTCGCATTTTCTCAGGTACTGCTCACCGGATCCTTTTTTGGTTGGAAACTGTCAATGCCAATGCAGCGGGAAGGGTACGCCTGCCACGTCAGCTTTCTCGCTTTCTACTTGGGAATTAAAGTACTTCATTTTAGGGACGTCTTCCGATTGTCAATTACTTTGCCTGCGGGTGAACATGAATACAAGTTCCAAGTGCATCGTAGTAAATGAGAGGATTCGGATAATGCTTATCATACGTAATTCACGAAATGCGCATAAAATTCAACAGTTGTAGTGTACTATTTACAGACAAATTTGACTAACTCGGGCAAAAGTACAGCTGAAAAGTGCTAACTAAACTAATCTGTTGAACAGATCTCGGTAGCCAAACCACGTCTATTTGATTTACTGCGGTTCTCATTTGTTTGTAATAGAATGGTTTCCTGTATAGGAATAATCGTTTGAAGTTCTTTCTGGCTTTCGTTGAATTTATAGCCACATACCAACATTTATATAGTTCTATCGTATATTTGTATCAGTACGACATGCTCCATAATCAGATTTCTAGATCCAGTAATAGAGAAATCCGCACATTTAGAAGCAATTTAGTAGCTCCTCATTCTAGAATATGTACAAATCACAGCACATTCTGCATCACACACTGCACATTCTATAAGACAGATAAAGACTGAAAACTCATTACCGCCGCATTATCGAAGTTTTGAACCTATCATTTAGTCCTAGTTTTTACGCGCAGGATAAGTATTTTTGCGAGACAGTATGTTCTGTACAATGCGTTATTCAGCACAGCTAGTGTATGACGATAAAGCCTCAGTCATTATTTCAATTTAAAATTTTAAAACTGCAGCTTTTTAAAAGCAGTTAGGCTCTAACACTGCGCAACTGATTTTGTATAAGTGAAATGGTGTTCCTTACCATACATTCTCTGGAATAACACGCGTCGACTAATAAAGAGCTCAGCATTTCAGTGAGCAACAAGTGGTAAACACAAAAGAACTTGATTTAATCCTTCAGTTTGCGCAGCAAGCAGGCCTCGAATGAGATCTCCGGTTGGACTTACGAGAACGAATACTGTTTGAAAACCCAGAGAATTTTGGCACCATTAGTAAGGGAGGGAGGAGGTGCTTCGATCTGGTTAGTGCATCAGAAGTTGGGTCAGGAGCCGCTTAAAAAGATGATATAAGCAAGCAAAATTACAAAAACAAAAAAGTGTTTGCTGGGAATTTAAGGTCCCCCATAGGTCTCCGCCAGATATCTGTTGCAAAAAAGTACGACGACTTTTTTTATTCTCGTAGGTTTTTAAAGGTATTCATAGAATCACTAAGCTTCTTGCTACTTACCTAATTCCCGGAAAGGGAGGCTGCTCATCGCCTAAGCGCTCAGAAAAAGATTACCAGCGCAGAGGCACTCTCAGCCTTGGAGTAAGTTTGCCAACATGTTGTTTATGTGGTAGGTGGTTGTCAGAGACAGTTGTAAAGTGAGAAATGGAGGAAGCGGAAAGAAGGAGAAGCTGCGATTGCTCGGCTATCCGGCCCGTTACGACATTCCCTTGCCTATTTTCCATAGAAAAAATTTCTAGCTTGCTCTCCGCAGATCTTTGCAGAGTGGCAGCAACAATCTTATAGTAGAACCTAAGGAAGATTCAAAAACAATGAAAACCTTGTTGAATCTCCAGAAAGTACGAATAGACCAAACATCCTTAATCTTCACAACTTTTTGGAAGCACAAAGCTGTGGTATTAAAAAAAGCACTGAGCTATAGGGCTAATATAGTGGAAAACAACTATTTTCAAAACCACCTAATTTCTCACTGCTAGATATATTGTTCACCAGTGCTTCACCTCTCCTTCGGAGAGGTTCGCACTGTTCATGTATGAAAGAATCAATTTTATTGTTTT